TTGCTTTCCCAAAAGTGTATCTTTTTGTCTGGCTATTCTTGCTCTTGACTCCGGCAATTGGTGGACTGGCTCTCTTGTCGTACTTCGACATACATTCATCGGCCTCCGTCACAAGCTGAGTTGGTTCCGATTATTGCCTTTTGGATTGAATCCTTTGCGACTCACTGTAATTCGACTCCCGCTGAGGGTGTTGATAAGACCAATGCGAGGTCGAAACTGCTGTGTATTGGTGCCTGGATGAGAACAACCTTTGGGAAAGCAAGGCTATGTGAAGTTCAGCTCAACTCATATCATTGTGGGAAATTTCTTCTTTTACTAGTCCTTCATCACCTTAAACAAAATTGGGTGAATACATCTCATATTACTATTAAAACAGTTAACAATACTAGAGTTGGCCAGTCAAGAATGATGTTTTTTTAAGTGCAAGATAGTCGGTTGAGGTATAAATGGACTATATAGTAAGCTACATGATCTTCTACACAAAATGTGAATATTGCGTGTTTGGCTTTGTAAGCTCATTGTTTTAACCATTTATATTCTCTTTTAAACGTAGCTACGACGACCAAAATGTTGGGACCTCTATTATGGTCGCAGTCTACTTACGTAAGAAAAAAGTCATATCCCAGAACAATATTCAATTATTCACAACTACAGAAGGAAGCTAGTAATACTGAGAAGTATGATGGATGTGGAAGTTTGGGATCAAGATTAGGAAAGTTGACTCGGCAACGGCTATCTGAGAAAAGTAATACAAAAAAGCATACTGGCCGTGAAGAGCCGATAGTAGGACGGGGATTATGAAGGAAAGATAAAGATGGTTATTGAAAGATCTGGTATAACGGAACACATCGCAGAGGTTGAACGCAAAATCTATTGGAAGGCAACATAAATAAGAGCCCCATATGATGAAAACACAAACAACGGAAGATTATGGAGGTCAATGAGCTCCTTGGGGAAAAACATTTGAAGGCAAGGTTAGTTGCCTATTTACTACTCAAACCTGGAGGAAAAAAGGATACGACAAGACAAGCAAAAAGGAGATGTCTGGATCAAGGATCTATCGTAAACCAGAGAAAAAAGATCACTAGGAAATATAGGGTGAAGAAGTTACTGAAATCAAATGAAGACGTGCTCAGTGAGTGTAGTCTGCTCGAAGAAACAACTACAACTTTGGTGGTCTGACGGTCATGTGATTAGAGAGACGGATAATCACACCCATCACAGAATCTCGGCTGAATGGCCAAATTGACTAACAATCCACTCGAGATGCAGCAGGAGACCAGAGATCGATGCCCACAGTTTGCCCAGGGTACATGGAGTTAATCAAGGAGAAGATGTGTGAAGGCAATCCCCAATATTCAGAAGCATGGGAATCACAGCCTAGGCGCCCTTCAGGTGAGGCGACAGTGAACGTGCTACTGGAGGCTTGACAAATAGCGCCTGCAATAAAATGTATGCGAGCTGAAAGTGAGTAAAATCGGTGAACCAGAAAGATAATAAACGGATCTACGAGCCCATTGGGCAGATAAGGACATGATTCTCGCGTCGGATCAGCTAGACGTAGGGCAAGGCAAGCAGGTGTGATGACGCCATGGTAAATTCTCCAAAAGGGCACACCTCTTGAGGAGTGGAATATAAACAAGTTAGAAGTTGGACAGAATGAGGACGAGAAAAGAGGGTAGGAAGAAGATTGAGGGGCCAGGACAGAAAGCGGAGTGATAGCACGACTGTTTCGGCATAAATTTGGTCAAGGGTTTGACTCCACTTGTCGCTATGACGAGTTGTAGTTGGGTGCTAAGACTACGATGCCGGCGAAACCTCTGGGAATGTACTAACTCAACGGTCAGACTGTGAAAATTATCTTTTATTTTAAGATATAAATACCAAGCTGTTGTGGCCTCTGGTATGGTCGCAGTCTCCTTTTAGATTTATAGAAGTAAGTTGACCTCGTTCTCGCAAAATGGTCTTGTGGTCAGGGAGACTATGTAGAACGCATCTAGTCCCAAGTCGTCTTGATTCCCAGCATCTGACAATGGACTTGATACTACGATGCTGGGAATCATGACAACTACTATGGCAGACGACTTCGGACTAGATGCGTTCTACATAGTCCCCCTGAAAATAAGACCAAGTTGCGACAACGAGGTCAACTCACTTCTATAAATCAAAAGGAGTCTGCGACCATACCAGAGACCACAACATCTTGGTCTTCACATATCCAATACATGATTGTAAAAGACATTGTGTATAAAATAAAGATTTTTTACTTCGAGGCCAAGCCAAAACTTAACTTAGTCTGGGTCGTTTAGACGGATTCCGATAGTAGATTGTGTAAGAAAAGAAATAAATGATAGAAGTGGGTTTACCTCGTTGTCGCAACTTGGTCCTGTGGTCATGGAGACTATGTAGAACGCACCTAGTCCGAAGGCGTCTGCCATAGTAGTTTTCATGATTCCCAGCATCGTAGTATCAATTACACTATCAGATGCTGGGAATCATGACAACTACTATGGCAGACGACTTCGGACAAGGAGCTTTCTACTAAGTCGCCCTGACAATAAGACCAAGTTGCGACAACGAGGTTAATCCACTTCTATG